AATTGATTTTATCCATGGGTCAGGCTGCTATGTGTATAGGGCAAGGGTGATGGGTGTGTGAATGAGTATGGGCACACGTGATGGTGTGGAGGAAGCAGTCAAAGGATAACCTCCATGTCGGTCTTCACTTCCAGCCTTGTTTGAGACCACCTCTCTCTTGTTCGCCACTGTGTGTTCCATGCTAGTTGGCCTACATGCTTCCCACTATTCTCCTGGCTCTGCCTCCTATCCCACTGTGGGAATGCCGAGATTACAAGCAGGAACTACCTATCTGGTTTTACTGAGCCAAATGCCCAGCCTAATATATCTGTTTTTAGAGAATATACAAGGTGATGGTGGGGGTGGGGAGGGGCAGCAAAGCTTCTAGAGACAGGCTACACATAAAAGATCACATACACCAAAGGATGAACATCTTCATGACAAAACTCTCAAGAAAGCAAATGAAAGTATTTTCCATTTGAAAAGGAAGACACTAAGGCGGTGGGTCCTTCCACTATCTCACTTAGTAAAGGGTCTAGAAAGTTCCCTGAATAAGGAAATCAGTGGGCAGTACTAAAGTCCAGAGACAGATGCCAGAGGAGGCCTGCATGCCCACTGCACGGAGAAGGCTGCCAGGAGAGGGAAGGTGAAGTTTCTGCTTCCCTCAGGACTGTCTGCAACAGTTCTCCAGAAGAAAAACAGGCAGGGGGATAAACATTTAAGACGAACACCAACTTCGAGAATCAAGGCTCAACCACCAATCTCCAGAACTATCTTTAGCCTGCATTTGGCCCTCTGCTCAAGTTCGTCAAGAACTAGTTCATTCTGGAGGGAAGACAGGTCCTCCAGCAGGTCCAGCGCAGCTGGGGACAGCGCTGTCACGGTAGAGGTGATTGCAAGGTGGGTCTCCTGGGGTTCCTCACGTAGGACAAGCACAAGGTGAGGTGAGCCACTGGAGGAGGTATGGCTGCAGGATACTTGAAACTTGCTGCTGGGGCTGGACCACCAGAGACGATGGAGATCTGTGGAGTCTCCACCTAAGAAGCTAGTAGGAGTCCGTCATCAGCCTATTTCCATCAGAGTGACCCAGGGCTTCTCCAGTTATGACCCCAGAGGCTCTATGGCAGCCTGGCTCACAGTCCTCCATCAGCATCAAGGGGGGGGGGGACAAATGTCCTGGACTTTACAAATAAAGGTCAGTTTGGGGTCTTTCTTACATTCCAGATGAACATATTTTGTATTAAACCTGGCCCTAACTCTTCCTTGTGTCAGGGAACTCTAATATTAAAATTCAAGCCTCTTCTGCGACCTCAGTCTTCCTTTGGTGCTGAAGGAAGCAGAAGAAACATGAGACCAGGAGAAGGGACCCATGGATTCCATTACTATGTAGTTTGGCAAAGAGCCCAACACTGTGTCAGAAAACCAAACCAAACCCCGCCTGTGAGAGGAGACTTGAAAGTAGAGGGCTTGGCTAGTCTCAGCGCACTTCTGTTACTGCTGAGGAAATACAAGCGAGGTCTCGTCACTAAGAACTTCTTTAAGCTATTTCAGGGAGGGGAGACACTCCATCCTTCCAATTTTGAAGGATTTTAAGTAAAGGGGGTGGGGGGAGTGTTGCTCCTGTGTGGGAAGGAAAGATTAAAAAGAAAAAAAAAACTTTAACAGGTTTCTCATTGGAACCTCAGGCACTCAGGGCCTCAACTGTAAGGTGAGGGCTTTGGTTAAGATCTGAGATTTATGGTTGCTATAAATACTTTTTTCGGGGCCGGGAGGTGGTGGTGCATGCCTTTAATCCCAGCACTTGGGAGGCAGAGGCAGGCGGATCTCTATGAGTTCGAGGACAGCCTGGTCTATAAAAGCGAGTTCCAGGACAGGCTTCAAAGCTACAGAGAAACCCTGTCTTGAAAAACCTAAATATATACATACATACATACATACTTCACTGGCTAGATGAGAACCTCAAATATCCTAGGCACTGTCCCAGGCACCATGGCACAGAGGTACACACCTGTGATCACCAGGGAACCAGACTCAAGAGCAACATGATATCAAGGCCAGTTTCTGTTACTCAAGGAGCCTCGTACAGCAAGCCTGGGCTACCTAACAACCTAATTCAAAAATCCAGAGGACCTGGGTTCAGTCCCCAGCACCCACATGATGGCTGTGATCATTTGAATGAGATGCCCCCCCCATAAATCTTGGGCATTTGAATAGTTGCTTCCCAGATGGTACCACCTGTTTAGAGAGGATCAGGAGGTGTAGCCTTGGCCAAAGTAAGTGTGTCACTGTGTTGCGGGAGGCCCTCCCACTCCTCCAGCCTATCACCGATGGGCTGGTATCTCAGCGGTGATAGGCTGGAGGAGTGGGAGGACCTCCCGCAACATCACTGGAAAAGACTTCAAATGACTCCTGCATTGCCTCCTGCTTAGAGATATGTCATTAGATCATCTCCTTCAAGGTAGGTCTTCTACATCAATTACTTGCTGTTCTTAGGTTCCTACACTCATGGTTGCTGACTCCAGGCACTGCTAAACAGGCTGTAAGTGGTGTTTTAAAAACTCTAACACTGAGACAAGGGGGATGTTCTATCGGGAACCCACTAAGGCCAGCTGGCCTGGGTCTGAAAAAGCCTGGGATAAAACCGGACTCGCTGAACATAGCAGACAATGAGGACTACTGAGAACTCAAGAACAATGGCAATGGGTTTTTGATCCTACTGCACGTACTGGCTTTGTGGGAGCCTAGGCAGTTTGGACGCTCACCTTACTAGACCTGGATGAAAGTGGGTGGTCCCTGGACTTCCCACAGGTCAGGGAACCCTGATTGCTCTTCGAGCTGATGAGGGAGGGGGACTTCATCGGGGGAGGGGGAGGGAAATGGGAGGCGGTGGCGGGAAGGAGGCAGAAATCTTTAATAAATAAATAAATAAAACTCTTATAACAGGGACCCACAGTAACAACTTTAGCTAATAACACAGTGCACACACAAGTCACAGAGACCACCGAGCTTTCTGTGGTTGTGTATATCTGCATACAACGCTTCTAAGCATTAAGGTGATTTCACAGATAACTTAGTTTCAGAGTGCCATTCTAAGCAAACATGCAGTAATAACTTTATTCAACCACAAGCCAAAACCAGAATGTGAGATGGCTCGCCGGGTTGAGGCATCACCAAGCCTTAGGTCCACCGCTTAATCCTCAGGGTCCACATGGAGAGAGAACAGACTCCCAAAGGTTTTTCTCTGACCTTTGCAAGTGAACTGTGGCACACATATATGTATGTATATATGGGGATATATTATATAAAATATAGATAATGTATAATACATAAAATATATGGGGGAACTTCTTTAAAAATAAAAACAAAAATGAGTTAACTTCTAAAATTAGCAAGAGCCTACATTTTTAGGAGAGCCGGGGGCCTGGGCATCTATGAGAAATTAGGAGGAAGAAACTCCACAGTGTTGATATGGTGAGAGGATAGCTGAGGTCTTAAAGGTGGTCCAATAACGAAGCCACAATAACAAGAGAATGTGCGGGCCCTGGGATGAGAACCTGTCAGGGAAGCCTTCAAATGTCACGTTCCTAGAGGGCAGACAGTCTTCGTATCTCACTTACCAGAATCTCAGCCCAGTTACAGCTGTGTAACTGCTTATCTGCACTCTCTGAGAGTGTAATGGGGAAAGGATGTTTCCCATTGCCCAGACTAGAAACGGCAGTGTCTGTAATGGAAAGATTCCACGTCTGTTACTGAGACGTGGTAAACGTATAAAGAGCCGCGATGATTAATTTAATAGGTAATCTCTCGAGGGACACTCACCAATAGGCTCTGTCAACCAAGGGCCCTGACTGACAGAAACTGCCAATTGCTCTGTGAAACCCCAGTTACCACCTCACCCCTGAGGTCAAAAGTGCATACACCCAATTTCCAGAAGCCCCGGAGACTGAGTAGCCAGATTACACCTGCGAGGCAAGCATTTGCCCGCACTGCCACACAGCTGCCACACACAGAAAGCAGCTCCTTGAAACTGTGCCCTTCAGCCCTGTTTAGGGCTATCACTAATGATTTCAAATTACAACTGTTGCTTTACCTCAAACAGTGATAAAAAGGGGGAGCTACATTCGTGATGTTCTCCTTTTGAGTCATTTATCTGCTCGCCTCTCAGGGGCAAAGAAAAAAAACGATATTGAGACAAGTACAAACCTGCCTGAGCTTATTATAGATGCAGCCCTCCTTCTCTCCCTCCTTCCCCTCCACGCCGGCACCCCTCCCTGTCTGGCTTTTCCTGAATTGAGGCTGTAGCCTCCGGTAAGGAACTCTAAGTGGTTCTTTTATCAAAACAAGAAGGGATTCGCCGACAGGGAGTGAGTCAGGCAACAGAGGCAACGACCCCCTCCCTCATTCTGGCAGTTCAATTCACCCGGTTCCTCCAGGTCAGCAATCGCTCAGGTTTCATGGAAGAAAGTCAGGAGGGCCTATAATCCATCCGAATCCAGGAGCCGGGATGGAACACACCCGGTTGCCAGATCTGAGGTGTGGGCAGGCGAGTGCATGTGCACAGGCGTGCACAGGCATAGCCTGGCTAAGGGCGAGACGTGAGTGGCAACGCAGGAAGACCCACCAGGATGGACAAAGTCACAACTATTACAGTGTGAAACAGCCCCCGCAGGGACTTTTCTTCGGCGAGGAAATCTCCCTAGATTTATTTTCAGGCAAGTGACTCACAACCTAGTCTCCATAAGTAGTTCCATCAAAAATGAGTCGCGGGTTCCTCTAGCCCGACTTTCCGCTGCCCTCTGGCTGCCCCTCCCTTTTCTCCGCCCATCCTGTAAACCCAGACAGCTCACAGAGAGCAAGCGTACCCCAGGGGAACAGGAGGCAGGCTCTCCGGCCCAGCCCCCACCCTTGGGAAAGGATGAATGGGGCCACCACCGGCGGGAGCGCGGAGAAGGGGCGTGTGGGCTGCGCGCGAGGTGTATACGCGGGTGTGCGCGCGTGGGCACGCACCCGGGCCAACTTACAGAGGTGGAGTTGGTCCTCGCCTGACCCTGGTTTCGCACCTCCTGCTCCCGGAACTGCAGCCCGGCCAGATGCTTCTCCAACGCCTCCCAGTCCATCGGGGGCACAGGGGGCTCTTCTGGGACGCACGTCCCGCCGTCCGGAGGCTGAACGCAGAGCCCCCCAGTTGCCCGGCCTCGGCCTCCGCGCCGGCTCCCGGGAGGCTGGGTCTTCTGGATGGCTCGGCGGGGAGCCCGAGAGGTGCTCGGCCGGCCGGCCACAACCACGTTGCCATTGTGCCTGAGGTCTTGGGGGTCGTGAGGATGGAGGTTGCCGTTAGGCATCGGGGACGGCATGGTGGTGGTGGCGCTCTTGCTCCCGCCTCCGCTGCTGCAGATCCTGGCGCTCACGTCCCCGGGCTCCCGGGCCGGACAGCGGTCATCCCGATACCCTCGATCGTCCTCCTCTTCCTCCTCCTCCCCGTCCTCCTCCGGAGCCCACTCATCAATCACCTTCTTCTGGTAGACCGGGAAGGGCTCTTCATAGTCCTCCAGAGCAGACACCAAGTCCAGGCTGCCCCCCGGCGACGATGAGGATTTGCACTCGGAGCAAGGGGTCACTTTGGTGGAGTTGGACTGTGAGCTGGCGCGGCTGCTGCTGCTGCTGCCGGCGTCACTGCCTAGATCCATCCCATCCTCTCGGTAATCCTGGGGGGAGGAGGCAGAGAGAGAGAGTGAGTGGCCCGGTCGAGCCTGCTCCGGCCGCCCGCTGCCCGCCCCGACCTCCGCGCGCGCGGCTCCCGCCTGCCGCGAGGTGCGAGCGCCCTAAGAGGCCTGGGCGGGAGCCAGCAGCAGCCTGAGCTGCCCCCACCCCTCCCCACACAAGTTGACTTCCTCCGGGTAACTAACCCGCAAATTAGCAAAGGGGTGCGCAGCCACGGGCGCGCACTTTTCACCCTCATAGCCCAGGGGCGCGCGCGGACTTGGTGTTAACCATTTTGCGCCAGAAGCGCCCTAGCACTCCGCCCCAAGGATTCTCCCAGACACTTTCCCACTAAATTCTGATTCCCCGGGGGCGGGACCCGAGAAGAGGGAGGAAGAAACTGATTTCGCACCTCGCCGGGGCACTGGGACCACCCCCCACCTAGCCCCGCCCCGCCCCGCCCCCTCCCGGCACCGGCTAGCAGCCCCGCGCCGGGCGAGCTCAGCTTTACTTTCTAAGGCACCGCAGTAGTCGCAGGGCGCATCCCGCCTGCGCGCCTCCTCGGCCGGTCTCTCTCGGGAAGGATGGGCACGGGGGGCGCTCTCGGCCCACGCCCGGAGAGATGGCACCCCTCAGCTACCACCACCAAAGGTGTGCGGGGCCGGGGTGCAGCGATAGTCGCTGCAGGCGCCGCCGCCCTGGGGGAGGGAGGACGCGCCCTCCCGGCGGCGGCGGCTGAGCCGGTCCCGCCACGGAGCATGCCCAGAGGCGGCGGGGTGCGGCGCTGTCCGCTCGCCCGGTTTTCCCCGCTGGAGCCTGGAGCTAGAGGCCCGCTAGGAGAGCTCGGAAAGGCCGGAGGGCGGCGGACCGAGACTGCCGGGCGCTAGGCTTGCAGACCTCGCCGAGTGTGAGGGCCGCGCCCTGGGGAGCGCGCTGTGTGCCCGAACGCACCTCAAGGCCTCTTCGCTGGGTTCTTTACCCAGCCGAAACGTCCTGGAGGGCCGCGCGGGTCCGATGCCTCCCAATCCACGCGGAAGTCCCCAAGTGACCCTGGAAAGGCCCTCCTGTCACCCTCACAAGCAAAAACACAAACCGTTTGGGAGCTCAAGTGACCGGTGCCCAGCGATCAAGCCCATCATTTCCTTTCCACCTTCCTCCCCCTTGCTGCTTCCTCTCCCTTCACCGCCCCTGGTATCCACTTCCAAGTTCAGGCAGTGGGTGGAACCTGTTGCTTTCGCTCACGTTTCCTTCCCCTTCCCAGCGACACTAAGGATGACCTCAGCGAGGTGTGTGTGTGGCTACAGGGGCGGGAGCGTGTGTGTGTGTGTGGGGGGGGGGGGGGGCTGTTATCTGCCCTGGGGGTCGGGAAATGGGGTGGAGATCTGTCCTGAAGGTGGGGGCCAAACATCCCTTCCGACCTAAGGAATCCAGAGGACCGAAAAGGAGAAAGAAGGGAGGTCTTGAGTGGTGGTGCCCCCGGCACATTGGCTGGCTTTGCTTCCTTGATTTTTTTTTCCCCCTTCAAGAAATTGAATCAAAGAAAATCTATAGGGAATTTCTCAGAACCACACACGGAATACCTGAATTTGCCAACCCTTCTCTTTAGGAAGAGGGTTGATGTGAAAATATTTTCTCGGAAAACGTAGGTGGACTGCAGAATACCTTTTAAGGATTAAAAATTTCCTCTGAACAGCCTTGCCCTGTAAGAAGTGAATTAGGAAATGCCCTCCTCAGCAGATCGGCGGGAAGAATGCTTAACTCTACAACGGAATGGAGAAGACCAGTTTCCCTGAACTTTCAGATTTAGGCCTGTAACTAATTTATTCCAGCAGGGCTAGTCTCGACCAAACCCCCACCCTTGCTTGGCACCTTCCAAATAGAGGAGCAAAAGAATGCTTGAAATTCTTTGGTTGGGAGTGGCTGCCACCCTGCCCGCCAAGGCTCTCCTGGGGACTTGGTGCTGAGACCCTTTGTCTCAGAGATTTCCTCTCCGCAGGTAAGCCCCTGGCCAGGAAATGTAAGCAAACCTTTTAACTTGTCTGGAAGCAGCGATCCTGTGAATAACAGGAAAAGAGGCCTTCTCATCTGGCCAGTCAAGAGGGACTGGCTATGACTTAAAATACAGTTCACACTGGGCAGTGGTGGCGCTCGCCTTTAATCCCAGCACTCGCAGGCAGAGGCAGGCGGACCTCTGTGAGTTCAAGGCTAGCCTGGACTACAAGAGGCTAGTAGTTCCAGGACAGGCTCCAAAGCTACAGAGAAACCCTGTCTGGAAAAACAAAATACAATTCACATTAACAACAGCCTGCATGGTGCCCCAAATACAGTTTGCTGTGAGGTTGCGGTGGAGTGCTGGCTGCCGCTGAGGAGTATGGAGGAGGTTCCGTATTCTGTGATGTACGCGGGCACGTGTGAAGATCACGTGACATGACAGAGCTGCGGTCAGAAAAGCTACCTAGAGGGCCGGAGAAATGGCTCAGTGAGTCAAGTGCTTTCTGTAAAAGCCAGGATCTGGGTGCTATCTGCAACCCCAGCATTCTGGGGTTGGCTGGGTGTGGGGGAGGTGGAGACATGCAGATCCCTGATATTGAGAATCAGGCTACCCCAAACTGCAAGCCCCAGGCTCAGAGAGAGACCCTGTCTCAAAATAACCCACTAACTAACTAAACAAATAGGGTGAAGTAACAGGAAGTCATCCTGATGTCAACCTCTGGCCTCACACATTCCTACACAGGCAGGTACGCCTGTGTGTACATGTGTACACACATGCAGACACCACACACGTATGCATCATACATGGCAGATGCAAGCAGACAAATATTGATCACTTGGGGTGACAGGAACATTAGAGTGACAGTCCAGGTTTTAAACCTCAGGAGCCACCCACCCACCCACACAGCTGGCGCACTTACTCCCCGACTGCTCAGATGGTCTGCGATCAGGAAATGTAAAATAAAACCTAAATGAAACATTTGGCAAGGTAACTGCACTGCCAAGAATGCTTGGCATGTCAAAGCCAACTCTAAACATCTGGGAATTATCTGTACTTTCATATTATTTTTCAGACCAGATAATCTGGATCAGATGGGAAGTACCCAGTTTCCTTTTCCTCCAGCCGACAGGGAAGGTGCTTGGCCAACCCAGTTACCATTCTGTCTCCAGCCTGCCGCCTCCTGCCAAGAACCCTCCCGCTTTGGAAACAGGAAGGCCTGCCAACTTCAAGGCTGCAGTAGTGAGCAGCTAGGTCCAGCAGGATAGAGAAATGATTTGCAAGGTGGTTGAAAAGTCTTGTCTTCCTCTTTAGGGAGCTCTTCCCAGACACCAGAGATGTAGATCAAGAGAGAGAGAGAGAGAGAGAGAGAGAGAGAGAGCTCTACTTTCAGAACCTTCCCCACTAATACGATGTTGTCAGGTCTGCAAATGAAGAGTCAGTTTCTCATCACACCCATTGCCCTCACCCGAAGGATGCAGCCGAGAGTAGCCTTCCTAGCTGGGCGCTGGTGGTGCATGCCTTTAATCCCAGCACTTGGGAGGCAGAGGCAGTTCAAGGACAGCCTGGTCTACAGAGTGAGTTCCCGGACAAGCTCCCAAGCTACACAGAAGAACCTGGTCTTGATAAGCAAAAAAAGAGTAACCTTTCTAAGATCCCTCTCTGACTATCAAAACTCAACAACGGAACCGAATCTGCTTCATCATCGCTTCCAACTTCTTTTGACAATTTTTATTCAGGGTGAGTCTAAGCCAGCATGTCACTTCCTGGATGGTTTGACTGATTCTTCCTGTTCACCTGGATCAGAGGACATTTTCCTGAGCCCAGGGTGTTCACTGCAGGATGGCACACACGGTCAATGTTGCCGTTTAATAACTTCACTTCTCAAGCCTCACAGTAAGAATCACATATAATGTTAAAACTCAGGTCACAGATCTGTATAAAAACAAGTGTAAATTTCATGAACTCCTACTTGGTGAAAACCCTATTCGAGGATGCTGGAGGTGTAGCCCAGTAGTTAGAAGGCTGATCTAGCGTCCCAGATGCCCTGAGTTCGATTCCCAAGAACATCTGAAATGGGGTGGTGGGGACAGAGACTCAGGCTCAGGTGGAAGCTGGGGAGTTTCAGGTCTTTAGGATCATCCCTGACTTCAACCACTCCAGTTCCAAATTTTAGGCCTAGTCTCAACAATCTTGTTCTAGTTATATCTTTGTACTGTGGTATAGTGACTTTAAGATCCTTAAGTGGGAGGAGGTCACAGTGTGGCCAAGAAAATACTCTGAACCCCATGGACAGGCTGTGAAAAGAATAAAAGCTTAATAGATATTTGTTGTTGGAGATGTTAACACTTTCTAACTCATTTGATCCTCAAAATTTCTATGAGGAAACTATTTTCCTACTCATTTGCATGTGAAGAGATGAAGGACAGTGATTTGTTATTTTATTTTAGTTAGTTTTTCAAGACAGGATTTCTCTGTACCTGTGGAGCCTGTCCTGGAACTAGCTCTTGTACACCAGGCTGGCCTCTAACTCACAGAGATCCACCTCCCTCTGCCTCCCGAGTGCTGGGATAAAGGCACGTACCACTGCCGCCCGGCTAAGGGCAGTGGTTTGTAATTTGCCCAATGTCACAGACTGGCTGAGCCAGAACTTGACACTGGGTAGTTTGGATTTAGAATTCTTATTCCCTAATCTACAAACTCAGTAGCTCTTGGTCCCACGAGGATCAATTTACTAGGGGGAAAAAAATCTCAGAAAGGGTTGCCTTGTAGCAACCTCAATCTAGTTCTTGACCTCCTACTTGGAAAGGCTCAGAGGGCAGTGTTGGTGTCTGTGTCTAAGGCAGTTGGCAGGCGCAGTTCTTGGCCTCTGCTAAACTCAGCAATATTCAGCAAATTAGGAGATTGAGTTGTAAAAGGAGGAGTGTAGGGGCTGGAAGGATGGCTCAGGGGTTAAGAGTATTTTCTGGTCTTGCAGAAACCCTGGATTCCCTTTCCAGCATCCACATGATTGCT